GAGCCATCGCTATTATGCAGAAGACGACACTGGTTTCGAGCAAGATTTACGTCGCTAAGCCCTCAATGGACCCTCAATGTTAGAATCTATATTAGGAACAACTAAATTAGATTTCGTATTGCCTTCGAAATCCAGTCATCGACGAATGAAAACTGGTAACTAGACGTGAAGGTTAACACGTTAATCGACCTCGAGACGTTCTTTGGATCGACCGACTTTGCGGCGCGACGCGACGCGCCGTGCCGTACCGCCCAGGAAACCCGAAGATGCTCGTTGACCCATTATAGCTCGCGGGATCCTGTTCTAATCAAAAACAATGTCCTTGGTAAGTCACGGCGGGTCAGCCCGAGCGTCTGTAAAAGCGATGTCGTTCCATTTAAAATTTCCATTTTGGACGCCCGCGAACGCTATTTTTGGGGGCGAGAGGTTCTCGACCCAGCGGTTCGTCACATGAAAAATATCGTATTTTTAGCATTTGATTGTAAATACTCGGGGCGAAATAAGAAACCTTTCAGATTTAATCCTTTTAAGAAGCCTAAAAGACGTTCTATTAAAGGCATCTGAAAGGTCAATCGGTATCAATAACATCATATCATTAAGTATGAAGTATCAATTCTAGGTCAGTTAGAGATATAAATTATAAGAAGCATTAGCATTATGCAAAAAGTTTCGCACACAAAGTGTGCTTCATCGTAAAATTATCTTGAAATCTCCGAAGAGACAAGTACTTAAATGACAACGTGCTGTACTCGGAAGAACAGCATATTCCTGAATATTTCTTGGGCTTTACTTTTCTTTTAATATTGCTACTCACTACTATATTTTGTGAAATTTCAAATTTGCAAGCCCCGGCATCAAGTATCCTTTTTTAAAAGTAATATATGACAGACTCATCCACCCACCAGACTCACTACAGTCTAATTTATAAAGAGTAAACAAGAAAAAGACACCGCACACCACCTAACTTGACGTCACCGCGTGGTTTCCGGTCGAGGAACAAGCGGCGGCGGCTCTCGTTCGGGAGTCTCGGCCACTGTGGACCGAAATCGGCCGGCGCGAGGGTGCAAATGAGGGTGTACGGGGGCAGTTCACGGTTGACCGCACGCCCTTCCGCATTAGCTGCGCGATTAAGGGAAGCTGACAGGTGTAAGCCAGTGCTTAATGAACACGTCTCCGCTGCTCAGTATTACCACTGGCGAGCTGAGTGTTTATAAGGAAAGCGGCCACCTTTTCGGCCACCACAAGACGCACACGCATCATCGAGTAACAATCGCCGGCACGCGCGCACGGTGAGTACCAAGCCGACCTTTCGCCACCTTTCGCCCCGCACGAGAAAGCGACGAATTTAGCACCGGCGTGAGGAGCACGCACGTACGCACGCACGCATACACGTCGACCTTTAATTGTTAAATCAAATGGCAAATGTGCGCTCGCGATTACGATCGTGGCCCGAGTTTTACATGACTTATTTTTAGGTAGACCTTCGTGTCTGCATTCTCGCAGAAATATTCTTTGATTTAAGAGTATTTTAAAATACTCGCCTTTCTCACGATAATATTCTCACGATCGTTTTCTATAATAATAAAATTTAGTAACACGCGATTGGTTTTCTTCCTACATTTGTGATTTTTTTTTATTTTATAGCTGAGTTTAACGTGTTGTTTATACTGCGACGCCATAGTCTTTTGCAGTCTTTTACGGATAGATTCTCGTGGTCTCGCGGTGAATCTTGCAGTACTTTGCAAACTTTTCCCGATATTTATGACACGAGCGGCTCGCTCAGGCAATAAATATTGCGCATCACACCATATGGTTCTTGAAAAAACAAATATCAGAGCAAAGCAAAGTGCGATGCTAATGTCACGAGTAGAAGCCACGCTAGCCCTTTATCGATCACGATCGTTGACCGAGTCATGCAAGATGTGTCTCGGTATTTTTTTCTGCATTTCTTACCGCGAGTAATCGAGCGTACAGACTTAAAGCTCCCGCTAATGTCAAGAAAGTTTCTAGACGGTTCGTGCTTTCATACCTTCTATGTAACACAATTTTGGTGTGAATGTGATGGTAAGAATACAAACAAAACAGAAAGGCTGCGGACAAAGGCTGTCGCCTATTTCTCTCAGAACAGAACGACGAACGGAACGACTGGCTTCTCAGGTGCAAACACGTCTGATTATCAAAAGTAACTTCTCCTAAAATCTTGAGGTGCGAATTCAGATTGAAAGAGTGAAAATCAAAAGTTAACAGTTCTATTAACATTTTAATGTTAACGAAAACATCTCTGATAATCAATCATCACGAGCATCATTGGAGATACGATTTTTCCGTCGAGCACCGTAAGAGCATCGTGAAGAAGTATTCTTGTGCCAGATAAGTGAGGGTAAAAAAGTGAAAGAGGTATGTGCACTCCACTGCGTTGTAGAAAAAAAAACTTGACTATCGTGGATAAACCGGGGTAGCGAATGGGTAACGTCACGCGAGCCGCGCTATAGCTGAAGATTCTTCGTATTACCACAATGCCTTACGATTAACTTATCGCTGCATCACGTCCCTACACATCCGAGTTCTTTTCTTGGAAAAAAAGCTCGCGAAAAAGGTTTCGCTACCTTCTCGATCCAACAAACGTGACTTTCCTTAACGCGCTACAGCGGAGCTAAGCCGGTATTAATAATAATTGGGTGAAATATTTCAGATCTTCTAATTGTGCTATCATACTCGTGTTTTATTCAAACGCTTATAATATGTGCAATTGAATGAAATTTATCCGTAAATCTTATGCATAGTCGGATACATATTTTATTATTATAACCATCGGATTTTAATTACATATATTTCGGGCACGCATGCGGGAAACAAATCGCGACACGATCGTGATTACCGCTACCGTAATGTATGCAAATTACTGTATTATCGCGACACAAGTTCGCCGAGTGTGAGGGAGCGCGTTATTGTTTTCAAGATTCGCGAGACTTTTACTCCCGCGCAGAAAACCAGTCGCTGCTTTCTGATCACGTGCCCAGTAATGGGTCCTATTAGGGCTGGCTGATGAAAGTAGGACAGCAGTACTTTCCGCTTACGAAGACAATTGCTCGCGTATAGCGTTACTCCGCTAATTCAGTTGCAGGACTTGTGATCGTTTAAGAGGAGAGCAGCATCTGTCTAGCACTTGTAGATCGAGATCGGGACACGACAAAATCCTACAAATCCTACATACAGTTGCTAAATTCAAAATTTCGTACGTTAGGAAAAATCTTATCCATTTCTGAGCTCGTATTCATATCGTAATCATTGTCCACTTTAATGTTACAAATTACCATATAATTATTGAAACTATATTCTACAATCATAAAAAATTAAGTCTTTCGCAAAATTCCAGAAACAGATGATAAAATTTTATTCCTTGCTCAATTTTAACTAGATTTTATTTTATTACTGCATATATATACATATTTTCGAGCCGTTAAGATATTATTTAATTTGAGTTTTTGAATGAAGCAAATAGAACGATTGTATACGAAAGAAACGGACATTTACACACGCAGACTTTCACGCTATACCGAAACGCGCGGAAAAGGCAGACGTCTCCGCTGTGCGACAGACGGCAGCGATTGCGATCGTACCGGGAAGAGTGCACCGAGAGTACATCCGTACGATCTGGCTGTGGCACATGTTCGCGGACAACTGTCCAGACGCAATTGACCGTCTGTAGAGGCAGGAAGAATGCGGGACAAAAAAGAACGAGAAACTCTCTCGAGCTGGCTGGCTGGCTGGCCGGCCGGCCGACCGGCCGTATCTCGCGTGTCACCGCACCTCGTACACGACCTCCCGATAGAGGTCATTCAATTTGGAGACGATCGTTCGCAGACGTCGTCGTCGTCGTCGTCGCGACTCGCGCGACCCGCCGGCCGCACGAGAGACCGGGTGCGGTGCCGGCGGGGCGGGTGTGGAAAGAGGCGGCGGAATAGGAGAAATTAATTCGTATCAACGGCGAGTGCAGTCACACGAGCACAATGCACCTATCAAACCGGCGTTCAACGTGGAAATTTCTCCTTAAGTCGCGAATATACGTTCTCGGCGGGCACCGACCGTTCTCGCATTTTCCTCGTTATCCTGCGCCAGGGCTTCCGGTTCGAAAGGGCTTCGCTGCGAAAGCAATGTGGATCGATCGTGGCGAATTTCAACGGTGTTTGGATTTATTAATTGATTCGCGAAATGAAGTTAAAGTGCAATCTCGATATGCTGGTCGCGATACCTTCGATTCCGTCGCGAGAATGCCGTTGTCGCGCCGACGACCAATTTGATTATTTTTTAATCGACATCAGCAAAACATGTAGATATGATTATATAATATTAAAAAGTCAAATTAAGATTTTTTTATCAAGCAACTTTATAACTGGATAGCGTATATATAGAAAGTAATTTTATTTTTGTTTAACATTGTTAAAATAACTCACTTGAAAAAAACGAGATATAATTTATACGAATTGGATATCTTTATCGAATAAAAAAGTATAAAAATATCTTACACAATTTCTTTGCATTACATAGTATTATATGTACACAATAATCACGTGAAAAAAAAAGAATATGTGTAATTAATACGAATTTGATATCTTTATCGAATGAAAAAATATGAGAATATCTTATACAATTTCTTTGCATTACATAGTATTATATATACACAATAATCACATGAAAAAAAGAATTTATACAAATTTGATATTTTTGTCAAATAAAAAAAGATACAAGAATTTCTTTGTGTGTGTGTGTGTGTGTGTGTGTGTGTGTGCATTACATAGTAGTATATATACGCAATGATGAAGAAGAAACGTTAGTTGTTAAATGTGGTTTGATGGACACGGCGCAGTGCCGATCTTTGAACGCTAACGTCAATCAATTATTCGGTTAAATGATGGCATGAGACGATTTGCATTCAATCTTCGACAGAGTGTAGAATCATTAGACACGTCGCTTTTCTTAAGACCGATTGCTTCCCTCACTCGTCGTCCTCCCTCCTCGAACTGTTTACTCTCTTTCTCGCTATCCCACGACCACACTTGAATAAGGGACAACAAGCACAGGGGAAAAAGAAACAGAGAGAAAGAGAGAGAAAGAGCCACCTTACGCTAGTTCGTCAGCGACCTTCTGACGAGACGGATAACCGAACATCTCCCGGGACAGGTCTTCGTGACAATTGCGGTCAATCAGACTGGCATTGTCAGAAACGTGACCGCACGTTGCCAGTCGGAAGAGCCTGAGACGCTCGTCGGCGACCGAGCGGTCGAGACGTGCCTCGTCGATCTTCTCGGAGAGAAGCGTCGGATCCACGCTTGGCGATCGTCGCCGATTACCACCTGGCGATTTTCTCCACAGGCCGTAAAGTCCAACGGCTCGACGCAACCGTTGACCCGAGGCGTCACAAGATTATTAACGAGAGATCAGGCCAGGCGATCGGGTGGAACATCCTCATCTCAAAAATCTAAAAATAACACACAGCTGCATCGGGAATACTCCTCGTTGAGGAAAAAAAGATCCCAAGGAGGAAAATATACAACTGTGATCCACGAAACCTAAACGCCGAGCTAAAAATAACCCGACTACCGTGCCGTTGCGCTGCTTGACACGCCTGTAAGATCGGTGTCCTGGAGAACGGAGGAGAGTCCCGCGGCTCGATCGGCCGGAATCACGAGCTCGATCACGAACGGATTCCCCGCGGTCCATCGCACAATCGCGACTGCTTTCGGGACAGGTGGAGAAGAACGTGGAAGGTCTCGGAGAAGTGCTCGCGGATGGGCATCAATGTATCCCAGACAGTGGGAAGGATCGAGCGTGCCGAAAAGTCAACATTTCGTCGAGGCCCGACATCGTCTACGGAATATCTCATAATCGCTTTCCCATGAGAGAAACCAGCATCGCAGCGATCATCACTGTGATCACATCTCACCTATCGCATCCGCGACACCGTTCCACGTCGTCCGAGAAAAAGTGCCAGACTGTGATACTACACCGTGTGATAGAGAAATTGCCTTGTGATCCGCGTTTTACCTCAACGTACTCAGTAAGTCGCATTCTGCGCCCGCTTCTGTTTTAACTACCATTCTTATCGAAAATTCTGCATGTCCTCCACTGCGTAGAATACAATTATGATATCGGGAAAAATATCTTATATGAGAGAGAGCGGCTCTTGATGTGCGCCGGTTGTTTAGGCACCGAATAAAAGTTAGTTGTTGAGAGGAATATTTACATTCGCAATAAAATTCGACTATCGTAAAAGAATGTGCAACCGACAATTTATCGTTGTACAGCTGCCAATAAAGCAAAATGTTTTGTGATAATATTTCCAAATTGAACATTGTTTGAGCAAAAATTTTATACAAATTTTATAAATTTTTATCTTAATTAAGCTCGGTGAATTTCCAGTATTTATTGAGCTAAATTTATCGCATCAAATTCGTATCATCATTCTATATTTAATTTTAATTCGATATCGGCTCGACATTTATTTATTAAAAACAAGTCAACTTTGTGCTCTTTCAGTTTGATAACAAAACTGAATAAACTTCGCGTAAGATTTTTCCTCAACGCAACGTATCTGCCAAGATCCGTTATAACCGTTTTAAATCGTCGCTTGACAGATCAGAATCGTCTCGAGGGAGAGTAAATTATGCGAATCTCGAATTATTCGAGAACAACGGCTGGCATTAATTCCGCTAGGCATGGCTGCCTCAAGTGCTATGCGAGTCCTCCTCAAATTGACGCATATGATTGCAGCACGCTTGGTGCTCGTGCATCGTACAATTGTATCATTAGAGAGTGCATCTGCCTCTTAAAGTCTTGTTCATTCAAGTCATTTCTTCAAATTATACATTAGCCTGACACAGCGCGGTCGTAGATCACGTAAAAATTAACTAGAGAGAACTAGCATCAGAATTAAAATAATCTTAAGAATTTCAGCCTTTAATCATCAATTAAAGTAGTTTCAAATTTTTGTTACACACACACACACACACAAATTTATGCGTGAAAAGTACGCAAGCGATGCCCTCGTTATTCGCAATACACGGGATTTCGTATATACGCGATAACAAAATTAATTATACCACTTGGCCTTAGAATTAAAATAATCTTCATAATTTCAATGTTTAATTGTTAATTGAATTGTTTTAAATTTTCGCTCGTAAATTTATGTACGCGGAAAGCACGCGAACGCACTCGAATTCTCGATTCGTTCTATTCAATTTGCATGGAATTTCATACGAGACGACGGAATTAATTAGCACTTAGTATTCTAATTTCATAATTTAGACGATTGTTTGCCTTCGTTTCTAAGATCAAACGTCGTGATTAATATCAAATAAATATTAGTCTTCTGCGCACTTATTTCTTGAAATGTCTTCACATATACTTCACTTCTATTTTTCGATCGTTATCGTTGATGGATAAATCGCGCAAGATCGATTTGTATGACATGTTCGTCACAAGTGTCATATAGTTTTCTTATTCAAAGAACCGCAAGCACGTTTATATTTATAAGCAAACTCCGACGAGACTAAATTAAAACACGTCTCTTTATCGCTCATGAGTCACACGGCGGAATAATGCGGGATTCTCTATCAGTCTCTCGTGTATCACAATCATAACTTTTTCTAAATTTAACATTCGAAGGAAGTAAACTCTGTAGAGTAACGAGCAAAAATACGCAATAATGATCACCGATCACGATCGATGCAAATGGCACTAAGTATCTCATTAATTCACAAAATACAATCGATTGCATATAAAAAAGCAAGTATAAGCCAATTAAATGAGCGAACGAGCATATATGTCAAAAACTGCGTTCGTTTATCGACGAACAAGTGTTGTTTTCAATCCGCTGCTTTTCGAAGTTCTTTTGCAAAGTTAATCGAGATCTGCGCAGCATCGCGGCTGCGGAAATCGGCGCGGGTTCGCGCGCGATCGAGGCGAATTTGAGCGTCGTGATTTTTCAGCTGCTTCTTCCTCACGTTTGTCTATTCGAGAAAACGGAAAAGTTTCTAGCTCTTTTGCGTACTTTGCGATCGCGCTCTAATCGAGAGAGTCGATCACCCCTAGCCGGTTCGCGCTCGATCGGACATAAGTACGCTCCCTCAAGAGCGCATATAAGTGCGGCCCGTTTAGTATCTTTCCGAGTGTTATATACACGTGTTTATTACTCGTGTCTGCCGGCGGTACTTCGCAGATAATACCAGAAGAAAAGACGAGGACAAAAATAGAAATGCGCCGATCTTGCAAGAGAGAGCGGACGCGAGATAGGGAAAGAGAGCGAAAACGAGTGGTCCGGGGTGGCGGAGAGAGGAAGGGAATGTTCACTTCAAGTTACGGGACTTTTCGATATCGTGAAGTGCGTCTCTTCTTGAGAGAGCGCCGGGAGGATCTATGTAGTTCGGTACTGTTTACGATCGTTGGTAGCGCGCCGGACGAGAAGCCAATGAACGCCGCCATTATCGACACGGTAATTGCTGTTTGGTCTCACTTTACGCGAATTTGAAGCAGCACGATACGATGATATCTCACTTCGTGCACAAAAATACGGAATAATGCTAATTCGCAGAAATCGAGAGCTATCTAGGCGAATTTAATTGACTAAATTTATGCATTTCGGCAATCTATCTCGCTTTACTCTCATTCTTTATGAAGAAAGTGTATCTTTAATCAGATAAGATCTTCGCAACCCTCGCATAAAACGCAATTGTATGCAGGTTACGCGCGATTAGAAGGATATCAGGATGTCGTGTATCGCGTTCAGGCACACCGATGTACTTTTTCCTTGCTTACATCCATGGCGTGCCGGCGACGTGCGATCGCGCGCTTATCATTGTCGCGTTATGATACTGCAAGTCTCATCGTCCGCGCGTGTCGCGCTCGCAATAACAAACACATTTATTTACCTCGCTCGGCCTTTATTTTTCGTCGGTCGGATACGCAATTTCTCCAAGACAAAAGAGATTTATTGCAAGGACGATCGGCTATGCAAATGATGTACACCCACGCGAAATCTGGCTTCACGTAGAATTTATAACAGAATCATTAATTTTCTATTAAAATTGATCCACTGTTGCTCCAGTTTTCGAATAATGAGAGCTTCGTTAAATCACGAATATAAATAAACGATTCAATTGATCTCGCGCAATATATCGAAGGCGCAATAAGGCTCCTTAAGGATTACGGGCGTTGCATGCGTGTTTTCAGCGGCGCATCAGTAATCGCGAGGGAAAGATAAATAGAGTTAGATAACTTCGACATCAACATGCGCCGTTTTCTTTCAGTATATTGCTCGAACACTAATTCCCATCGCCACGATGTGCCGGAAATAGAAGTGGCATGCCCTATATTTGCGTAACTTGTTTTGAAGGAGGCAAGTCAATGTGTCTGCTGCGACAATGTCTGGCAGGCGTCTATCTGACAATATTGCTTACGCGAATTCATCGCGAATAAATTCCGCCAGCCTTGAAACGTCAAAATACAACGTTTTATATTTCCGGAAACTCAAGCCTATGCTGTCACGATTAAAAGCGACGTTTTAATACTGTCGTGCGGATAGATAATATCCCGTTTGGATAATTCGGCGATTGCGCGAAAGGTGAAATTGTCGTTAGTGAAATTATATGTTATACCATATTAATTCTCGTGCACACAATCGCGCATCAAGGCCACTGGCCTTATTTCTATTTTCGTTGATAACGCGATTAATCAAGTGTGACGTAGTCTGCAAAACAAGTCAACATTGTTCTAATCCAACCACACGCGATCATTAGTGAAACTTTAAGGGTATGTCGCAGAAATATTGTTGACCTATCCCAAGCAAACTGTAGAGTGTTACCTTATAATTCTTTTCCGCGCATATATTTTTACACGATGATTGCTGGAGCTCTCATGTGCCGTCAAGCTATCATCTTTTTGTTTCATGAACGATTTCATAAACGTAACAAAATTAAACGAAATTAAATTGAAATTATAATTGAATATAATTAATCAAAATATTTAAAATGTCTATAGAATGCCTTCGAGAAATTATCTGAAGAAGCGTTTGAAACAAACGTCGCACGTGCGATACTCTAAAATAACGAGAGTATCGGCATATTTCACAACGTAATAACGCAATTATGCTGGCGCTAACGTGTGAACAAAGGTCGTTCCTATAGACAAAGCGAGAAAAGCGTCTTTTTACTTTCTCTCGTTCTGTTGGAGACTCCGTCGTACCGCACGACACGCGTCCTCTCTCTTTCTTGAGCGAGATTTATATTTAAGTAAAAGATATCTAAAAATAGACGCACCCTACGCGACCGCTGGAATGCCACGCCGGCCGCGTATCCAATTAAGTTTCCCCGACATAAACAGAGGCAATAGCCAAGCTTCCCAGGCTGAGGTCTGGGATCCCAAATGGCGCAAGTCTCTACACTCGAATGACACTGTCACCTAAACGGACGGCTAGAAAAATAACCGAGTCGGATATCTGTCGATGTTGTGTAAAGTTCAGATATGGTATAATAAAAAATTATTTTAGTAAACAGTTTGTCTGGCCCAGCCTAGATAATTTTACTTTCACTCATTTATTAGAGAACTGTGTGATGACATCAACAGACGATCGCTACTCCGCAATTTCTACCCGCTCCTAATAAGTGCACGCGTTTCTCACGCGTCTTAATCGTCTGAGATCATCGACATAAAGTTCGTTTTTCCTGATTATACAATATTGAAACGCAAAGTAACAATTTTAATCAGACGCGGAAAATCGGAGTTCGATTTTTAAAGGAATTTCGAGTGTGATTTGTAACATTAAAGTGAATAAAGATTAATAAGATGACGAACCGATCTCGCGAACGAGATCGCACGAGCATGATGTGATTAAACGAGGATGGTGTTGCTTTCAGATGTCCGCGAATCGATTGAACGTGGTCGTGACCCTGGTGCTCGCCGTCGCGTTTCTCGCGGCGGAATCGGGGAACGCACAGGCGGATGGCTATCCGCAATTCGGCCCGAAACGACCCTCCATGAGCGCGCCGCAAAAATATTGCGGCAAGAAGCTATCCAATGCTCTACAGATAATCTGTGATGGCGTGTATAATTCCATGTTTAAAAAGAGTGTTCAAGGTGAGTATAAACTAATCAAATTTAAAAAAGTATAATTTTTTACAATAAGAAGAACATCCTTATCGCTCATTTCTGACGCCGACATTAAGCGATAGATAGATGTATCGCTAATGGAACGTTAACGAGCCAAGGGTAAATTTCTGTCTATTTATGTGAAATGATAATGTTGGGCAGTTTGTTTGTTCCTAAATGTACACGATACCATCATCAGTTGTTCACTCTTCGGCAATGCCGAATTGCAAAACACGTAATCGCGGAGAACGTACGAAAAATAATATCCGTTAAATATACATTTATATTTCAATTTAAGGTCTACCAATCATGATATTACGCGGATTTAAAATGACTCGTTTGAAAGTATGAATCAGGCGTAATTTATACAGGTCTTATAATTGAACGGCTTAATGTACGAATGAGGTCAGTCCGTAATTTGTGACGTTCGCTTTAAATACAACCTTATATTTAAAGCGAACGTTACAGACTACGAACTTCGATTATACAGGGAATTTTTGCGTCGGACCCTTCACTTTTAATAGCTCCTCAAGCACGGTATTCTGCGAAAGGCGATTAAATACGCGATCAATCTGTGCTCGCAACCAAGTAATCGCTACTTTGTTGCCGATGAATAATGCATGTAAGCTCGCGTTACGTTACTCCTAAGTGGGATCATAAACCGGCGCACTCTCTATAATCTCGTCGAATAACTTAAATACGCCAATAATCGTAAGCATTATATTTTTCATTCTTACGAAATAAAACGATTTCCGCAAAGACAGACGCGAGAATTTATATCGGGAAATTGCGTAAACCTTTCTCGGACACGTAAAACGCCTCTTATCGCCGGGCACAATCGCAAATAGATCCGTGTTATCTGACACCGACATCTAGATGTGACTGTACGATTTGTTAACGATCGTGAAAAACAATTCTAGTCATTTATATCGAGTTAATGTGACGTGCAGATAAGTTTTGTCTCTGGTTTTCTAAAATATTCAAAATTTGTTAATCAAAAGTATGATTGCCATCGACCATAAAGTTGGAAAATTAGTGTCCAATTTGATGCAAAATATTGACTTTTTGTTTTGATTACGTCTATAATTTGTTAACGACATTTTAGATTTTCATACGAATTATATGCTTTCGTTTGATTTATTACTTCTAAGAAAGTTTCGAGATTTTTCAAAAAATAGATTTTGGTTCCTTTCACAGCGCCGGAAGAGGGGAATACCGGCCGCATAGGTAACAACTTTAACTACGCTGGCGTTCAAGGTATGATTCTGAAGACATCATGTTGTGTCCAAAGTGTTACGCAAAAAAATTGTTCAAAAATCTCAAAACTTTCCTATACAAAAACAGAAGTAAAAGATAAACGGGATTTAACTGTTGAATTTTTCTGTTAAGTTTACGCTTATGTATACGAAACGACAAACGATTATCATTCGCGCTTATCACTGGTGCGCCGCTATAAGTTCAGTTTTGTTTCAGAGATGCAAATGGCCGATTACCCAGTGTATTCCCCGTTTATGTCTCCAACGAAGGCACAGGGTATACTAGACGGACGCTTCGCCGGCAGACGCAGAAGGGAATCGCGCGGCATCCACGAGGAGTGCTGCCTCAACGCGTGCACGATAAGCGAACTGTCCAGCTATTGCGGCAATCTTAACAATTAAGCGCGCGTCCGGTAACTCTTCGACTTCCGCTTTACCGCTCGATCACCATGCAACCGAAATAATCCCAGACACACCCACGCGCATATACCCCACGTACACACATAGACATACACACATATACGCCCGCATACGTACAATACACTGTTGGAAAATTCACTGGTAACCGCATCATCGCTCACGCTGGAGACTGATTCGTGATAATTATGTATACATATATATATATATATATAATTGTGAAGGAAACGATTTTTTTTAACGCAAGGTCGTGCGCGGGATTGAATTTTCTCATTTGCTTTCGATTCTTTAATGACGAGGGGACAGCGGAGAGAAAACATGATTCGAAAGACGTAGTTCTGGAAGAGAACTGGAATCGTCACCTGTAGTTTTTTTTAATTAATGACATTCTTTTAAAAAATAAGAGATTTGATTTTTACACTTGAGAATGTGAAGCTTTACTAATAAAGAAGTGAGCTCTTTTTATAGATTACAATCCATCTGATGTGATATAAATTTCTTTCTCAAGTCTCGATGTTTATTGATAAGTATTGCTATTTTGAATAATTTAAATAAGTTTTCCTTCGCTTGCTCTGTTTTGTCTATAAAATGTATAAATTTTTGTAATTTACACTGACATTTGACGTGTTAAGTGTATCAGACACTAATTGAGATTGATTCCCGAATGAGAATTTGATAATAAATTGAACCAGACATGCTACATTTTATTCTCTTATTTTGTGTATTTTGATATAATTTTTTGGCAAATAAATATCAAGAACTGAAAAAAATAAAATTAGATTTAACTATAATCTTCATATAAAAAAGACGATTTCTGGTAACGACTCCAAATTATACTCAAATTAAATATTTACACCGCGTAAAATGGTATGACATTTGTCGTACTTTTTTTCACGACGGAAAGAGACAACGTCAGTTCTCTTCGGATTAATCAGCAAAGGAGAAATCGGAGAAAGAAAATCAACGTAGAAATTAAAAAAAAGGGAGAAACTAATCGCGATTTGTACACACGTATCTAGCGCGTGATCACGTATATAATTATAACGACGATCACGATGCGACACACGTGAAAAATGGAGAACGCGCGTGTCGGCGATGTCACGCGACTTCATGCCTGCCTTGTCTGGCGAAATCGATCTTGCGCTTAGATATTTGCCTCTCTCTTTGTTCATTTACCGGTCAGGCAACATCGGACGACACGCGTAATCCGATTCTTTGACCCGATGTTATACTTATATGTGTTTTTTTTTTATTTTGTCGTTGCGTTTGACGATTCAACGCATTTTCGCCACTCTACGTGCGCTCCGTTGACGAATATCCTGCCCATGATTTATGCGTTGGAAAATTTATCGAAGAATGCAGTCTCACCCGCATGGTGATTTTTGGCGACAGAAGGAACAGCTCGATAGCCATTAGTTTCTTGTAACTGTAACTTTTTTTTTAATATCAAATTCGAGATCCGTTTAACGATCGAGAACGAGAACTCGCAGAGAAATGCAGGTCGCTCGACGCGAAACGCAAAAACGATCGTCGTGAACGGATGTTGAGTTTATGCTAGGACACTACTGTAGCTTGCGTTATTTTTAATCTGCCAGAGGCTGTGACGAATTTCAAGGGGCATCCACGACTGTACTGCATATGGTGATATTATTCTTATTCGTATGTGAACGTGTATTCCCAATAAATGTCCTTCGAGGAAAGGGCCGAGATAGCGTGCGCGCTCGCGCAAAACAATCGGGAAGATCATGGCATGACAATTATGCAAATTCAACTTCGCAGCACCGGGAAAAAGACCCACGAGTCGCCATCCTACCTCGAAAGGCACTTGTTTCTGATAATACGAGCGTGTGGTAAAAAATAATTTTTGAACGAGAGATGGTATACATCGATAAAATTACGATACGACAAACTAAAATCACTGAAAAAAATGTGCTACGATTATTTGATCGGTCGATCTAAATCTAAAAACGTGCGAAAGAAATAAAACAAGATAAGAAAAAATGATCGGGAAAGAAATAGCAAACTGCCGAAAGAGAAAAAAAAATAAAAAACAAGAAGCAAAATTAACGGATCGTAAAACATGCGATAAACTTGCCACCGCGATCATTTGTTCGACAAGTTTCACGATAATATTGATATGTTTCTATCAGCAGTGTTGATTTTTGTTATGTATTAAGTGATCTCTAAATCGCATGTATGCCATTTACCTCGTCACGCATATCTAAGCATAAGAGCACAATCCATTCCGAAGTATATATTATTATGCTCTATCACCGAGGTTGATTTAACACTTATCTCGTTTAACAATCTGTTTTCTACACCGTAGCTGGGTCTGCGAACTTATGAAAGAACAGTGAGATCACTAATCCGGAATAAGTTAATATAGCAGGTCATATCGTCGCGATTCGCGAAAAAAGTTTGGAAACGTGCAAATTCGAAAATCAAAAGTATTTAAAAAAAATATTATTATATATATTACAAGAGGCGCTAAGCTAAAATAATTTTAAATTAACATTTTATATCTTCGAGCTTAAAGGTATGAAAAAGAAATTTGAAAAAGTAGTTTTACTATTCATTATTTAATTGCAATCTTTTTAATCTTTCCTTTCAATCTTTAAAAATTAATTATGCGAGAACAAGAATATTATTAAAATCCTTTGAATTTTTAACTTTTCAAATTTACGGGTCGCCGAACTTTTTTTATGCCAGCTATAACGTCACCTCCATGCGTGCTCCTTGCCTATTTCATCGCTGATCTCTTATTGAGTAATGCGACAAAGTGATTATAACCGCCAAGGTCGTAAGTTATTGATTAAACGCCAATTATCGTAATCATGCTTATTATGATCATCATCAACGATTATTATGCTCTATTGCCGCGTTAGCGCCGTCATCGTCATTTTTATCATTCCTCATCCTCGTCACCCCGTGACACCGTGTCATAACGAGATGTGATTTATGCCGCTAACGTTGCTGCCGAGCTCGCTTGAGTGCATTTCGACTACGCATCCCGCATTCTACTTTCGCATTTCTTTCCCTTTCCTTTCCGCCCTTCCGTTTCGTTTCGGCAATCTCCCTCGTGCGATGATTGTAATATAGCGTGGAAACGAGTAAAGGTCGAGACATGATAAAGCAGCGAAAAATCAGACGCATAAACGGGATAATATCTAACCACATAACATAGCAAACTAACCGACTATCATCGAATAATCAGTGTCAGAAGACGGATAAAGGCGCAAAAAATAGACGAACAGCTTCGTGCTTGTCGATGGGTATTGGGGGGGGGGGATATTTGGATGTTGCAAGTGATAAGAAGCCGAATAAATGTAAACGAGTATCTGTCCCTCGATATCCGTGTCGCTATCCATCGACAGACTGCGCTTAGACAATTTATTGTATCTCGGTCCTGACACGTCGCTCGGTCCTTCGGCGCGGAGACGCGGCGGTTCCTTTGCTGCGCGGCTGCGAACGACAACTCAAGCGCTCTGGCGAGAGGAGCGGCGATATATACTACTTCGTAGGACACAGGCGATGTGATTTGTATATTGAGATGTACTTCAACTTAACGATAAACAATGAAAAATTGTTCCCAAGAAGAAGCATTCTTTGTTCAATAGCACAAACCCACCCACAATCCCGTCCCGTAGCATTTGGGAGGACAAAGACGATTAATCTCAATGATCTCAATTCTACTCGGCGGAAGTGTGCACATGCTATTAATAATATCGCTATTAATTTCCTCTGACAGATGATTCACACGATTACTTGCTCAATGTTACTAATGCGTATTCAGAATAGTTGTACATGAGTGCGTATATTGATCGTATACACGTCTAACGCTTCGTGCCAACTGATATAATATACATTTTCACGAGGACTTTACATCCCGAGCATTAATCTCTTTCAGTTTATCTCTGAAATATCACACGTGCGCGTGCTGCTGGTTATTATATATTATTCTAAATTTCAGGAAAATAACTCGAGATAACTACGTAAAGTTTCTTCTCGCTGCACGATATATAATTCGAGACGTATTTCTTCAAATAAAAAACTAATAAAAGATAAATCTATCTAAAATTATCAATTCTTTGTTTTTTGTTCGCTTAAAAACTTGGATCAGATAACTTCTTAATGTAGTTGAAAGGTTAAAGAACAAGACAACATTTAGATAGATATTGAAATAGTTAGATACGGCTTGCGTGACAAAATGGTGCACGTGTCTATGTTTCTAATCACCATATTTAATCCTGCCAATCAATCACTTAGTATTACATATAGTAGTATACTTGACACGCAAATTTTATAATGTTTTAATTATATGCATGCCAGTTTTCAAAAATTAAAAAAAAACTTTACTGCTCTAATTTTATGCCTCTATATATATTCTTCTAAAAAGAATAAATGTGAATAAAAAATCGAGCGCACCTGGTTATCAGTTATCGCATCTGATTTCACGATCAACAAAGTAAAAATGACATACCTTTTGATGGGAACAAACGGCGCATTAACTGCTATAAGCCAATAGAACTTCTGGAAAGAAAACTGCGGGGGATGTGTCGAGGGTTGACGGCGTCCGCGTCGCGTCGTCGTGGTTTCTCCGTCACCCCCCTTCGCACACCTTTCATGGTCGCGTGACACGCTGACATAAAACGACTCGTCACTACGTTGCTGTCGTCCGGGTCAGGATGACTAGACAAGTGTCAGTATCGATTCACTTGACTGCTGGTTATGCCACATCGTACGAAGCATTTCCGGCCAGATGAGATCCAGACGGAATTTACTGATCAAGATGTGCACGGATAATAGCCAGAGACATCGTTGAAGAATGCACAGCTTCCGGCTATTTTTACTCAGCCCGCTTATACTCGCGTGTTGTCACACCAGCTATGGACAAAGTAAGCTTCTACCTAAAAAGATATTAAAAAAAAATATTTGATGAATCTTTGTTATTAAAAATTCACATTTCCATTTAATTTATTTATTAAAATTGGTTTTTTTTGTTAAAATTAAAAATTTACGCTAAATTAAATGCAATGCTAAATAAAATTAAACGCATAACAAACTAAACTAAATAATGTTATAACGATGTAATTCACAAATGCAAGATTCATTCTTTGTTTAAATGCAATTATATATGTCAAATTAAAAGTTGAGAAGAAAAATATGTTTTGTACAGTTTGACATATTGTTGTAAGAATTTTATGAAAGACAATACGATATTTTCAGATGACACAGCGAACAATAAAGAGTCGCCAATACCCGCAGAGATGAAAATAACGTCATGGAATGTAAGTTTGACAGTTACAATTTGCACGGTATTGCGCACGATTGAAATAAAGAGAAATACTTACAATATTAAATTTGGTCTCTGAGAAAAAAGATATCAACTGACAAAAAAATCCTCGCTTTTACATTTATTTGCACATATTTCACGATATACGAGCGATCTTTCAGTAATCGCGTAAATATGTCGGAGAAATAATACCGATATAATCAGAATAACGAAGCCAATAACAAGAACTTTTGCTGTTTACTTTGACTGAAAGCAAAATGATGTTTAGTCAGTCTTCATCACATCAAAAAAAAATAACGATGAAACGTTTGATACAATGCAACACTATTTATACGTCGACAACGTATCGGTGTCCTTCGAGGAGATTTGGAAAATTGTGTCACGCCTTCCTAATTAATTAAGCGACTGAATAGAATATCTGCGCAAATAATTACGAAATAGTCTAAATCTGTACGAAAATAATTCAGTATAGATTTGCATTATTGCAATCAAAAGTCGATTAAAAATAAAATTTCGAGATACTATAATATTAATAATTAGTTAAAAATTAAAAATTAATTAATATCTTTTTTAGTATATAAATCTTATTGCACTAAAAGTATTCTGCAAAATATTTTATACAATAACTTTTCTAATGCATTTTTTTTAGTTTTATTGTGCTCTTCACGGCGACATTAAGTAGACATTTTTACGCGCTTACTTGATGATGTACGATAGAAATAGAGCGCAAATGTCATAGTAAATGTTAGATATAACATTCTTGACAGCAAAAATATTTATGATGCCTTTATTGTGCAGTGAAATAATTCTCGCATTTCTTTTACAATAATTATTCGTAAATGCACAGTTAATAGCTTCAACAGACAGCGTTTCACATTGAGACAACTTTTTTCAAAATTTCAAATATTTGTTTAAAACAATGAAACACAAATGTATCTCAATTAATTCTTCTGATACAGCCACGTATACGTGTATCACTTATTAAAAGGAGAATTGTAATAAATTATGTACATAGAGCCACGAAAAACCTATCACTACATCACGTTTGAAGTGACAATCTATTATATGATTTATCGATCACCGACAAAATGTCCTACTTTTCCGTATTGACGATATGAAAAACCTAGAATTACAAAAAGACACATCACGCGACGTAAAATCATCAATGCGTGTTGCATGTGAGTTTGTGATCTTTAAATAATAGTAGCCAATTTTCCTGTAAAAATATACTGCAATTTTTTATAACAATTTGCATATAAACAAAATTCTATATTATTATCTACGCTTGATATAACAATGTCCTTCTAGATAATATACAAATGCGAGGACATTGGCGATAAAATCAATCAATTATTATAGAAGGTCAGAAAATGCGGCATAAAAAATGCTGAAATTCGCCAAAAAAAAAAAAAAAAAATTCTCTCATACTTCTATCGATTTACACTTTTCTACATTTCATTAAACAATTTGCATAATTTATTTGCAAATTCATAATTCTAAAATGTATAGAAATATATGAAATATATAAATAGAAATTTGTTGACAAGAATTTTTAACTCAAATGCTAAGTATTTAGAAAATATAAAAATGAATTTGGAAGATTCAGAGTACTCAGTACGGAAAGGATTAAACAGGATTAAACAATTATTGCGACATAGTTAAGACTTGAGTAATATCTTCTCCGTGGCATCGCGTGTTTTGCGTGACACGGTAAACAAAGGGCGCTTAATCGAGTAACCGAGCATGCTGTTACAGCTATCGCATTATACGAGTATCGTGGCTACTAATAAGTATTGCGTCAGGGGTTTGCCAGTTTTATATCTCCTGATATGCGTCGCGCATCTTACAATCTTCATGGCGCCTATTAATGCGTTCGTGCGGGCCGTTATCAAACATTCAAATGTACAAATGCCTGAGTCGCGTATGCAGTTGACCGTGCACGGAACGATCGCGACACTGTGATAATGGGTGCGCAAAGATGATAATTAAAATAGCGTCGAGGGTTGCGTTTAAAAGTTCTATTATGCAATTCGGACAATGGTATACGTAGTAGCGTAGAGTTAAGCAGGATGCACATTAAATAATCAATTCTGCAATCTTCTCATTTGTTTTCAATTATTTCTACAAGATATATTGCTTGAATAATATAAATTCTTATAAATTGACAAATACGATATTTGACGTTCGCCAATTTTTAATTCAAACTTGAGAAATTTTACTTCCATCTTCAAGATTAAATATAACATTCGATAATTTACAAGAATTGTGCAATTCTATATTTATCGTGGATTCATCGATTGCGATAACGTGAAACTGTTACAGGACATGCCGTTTTCCGGACTAGTGCAGGAAAATGGAACGTGGGTAGGAAAAGGCTACGCCTTTTACTTACTGGAGTTACTTAGTTTAAAATTAAATTTTACATACACTATCGTGCCGCCTAAACAGCATGTGTTAGGAAATAAGGACAAGGGAATTTTGAATTTACTTTACGAGAAGGTGAGCCACCTTTCTTTCTTCAACAAACTATTCTGAATTTTTGTTTATTGATCAGCTAATTATTCTATTCGTGCAATTAAATGTAGATTAAAAATTTGTTTAAGAAAGAATTAAACAAATATATGTAACGACAATCGATAGAGAAAACAAAAACGTGGATATTCTTTGTTATTTAAATAGAAAGTTGATATGGCAGTAGCCTTCCTGCCTATTTTGTCGGAGTTGCGGAATTATTGTACATTCAGCACAGCTCTGGATCAAAGCGAGTTATCGGTGTTAATGAAACGACCGCAAGAATCGGCAACCGGCTCGGGACTACTCGCACCGTTCGATCACATCGTTTGGTTATTAGTTCTAGCCGCAGTGCTCTTTGTAGGACCCATAATATATGTCTTTGCCATATTACGGTTTGTCAGAAATATAAATTAGTTAAAAAACGCATTACGAAAAACAATTCCTAACATTATTAATATCTTGTAGGGCAAAATTGTGGAATGAACCAGACTCCGAGAATTATAGCTTATTCTCTTGCATATGGTTCGTGTACAGTTCTTTGTTGAAACAAGGAACGACCATGTTGGCGATGACAGGTACGAGACTGCTCGTAACTTTTAAAATATTAATGAGAAGTTACGGCATTTGCATACAGACAACGATTGGTTTACTTTGCATTTGTGTTCGTCGTGATCACATTACGATATTATTGTCACGTGCTGTTAAAAAACGAATCGAAACGGATCTGCATCGATTGCAGACTCGACGCGGATTCTGTTCGCCACATGGTGGATATTCATCCTGATATTAACGTCCTTCTACACGGCGAATCTCACCGCTTTTCTCACGAAGCCACAATTTACCTTGCCGATCAACAACTTGGAAGATATAGTGCGCAAAGGTTACGAATGGGTTACTTACAAAGGACGCACGATCCACTTTTTGCTGTCTGAAGTAAGTTCTTTCGCAATCTTAAAATTTCCGAAAGTGAAATTAAGAAAAAACAATATTTATCACATTCGTTACAGCTGTAGATTATTAACGCTGTAGATTATTACATCTTATTCGTATAAATTTACCGAATTTTTTATGACGTACACTATACAAAGTGTTTTTCAACAAAATCTTAAAATTGTTATTGTTTTAATATTTCCAGCAAGAAACAGAGGAGTTGAGTTTACTGAATGCTACAAAAAAGGGGAAAGGTCATTACATATCGTCGTACGAGTATCCGGTTAACTCAATTTTCAACGCCGTGGAGAAGAGTGAGTAATATCGATCTCGAATTATATATGAATGCTAAATAAAAACGTAATATTAATCTTTAGACAGACTATTCCTCGGCGAAGCCCATTATCTTCAAAGCCTGTTGTTCGAGGACTACATCAACAAAACTCGCGAGCATCTGATCCATCAGAAGAGATGTACATACGTCATTATGCCCGGCGCAATTTTCGTCACCAGTAGAGCATTCGCCTTCCCCTTAAACTCCACCCTCGCGAAACCAATTAACAGAGCGTAAGCTCCGAATTTTTGTGTAGCCGATAGAAATTTTGTCGAAACGACTAAATTATTTACAATTAATTGCATTGCTAGAATTTTTTATTATAATCCAATTATTATCCCGATAACGATATTCTCTCCGATAACGATAATAAATGGGTTTCAGACTAATGGCTCTAGTGGAAACCGGTATAATAAAGCGCGAGAAGCTAATGGATTTACCGCGGGCGGAAGTATGCCCGTTGGATCTTCGATCCACCGAAAGGCAATTATCATTCAACGATCTGTCCCTGACCTTCAAGGTCGTAGTCGCTGGATATGCAATCGCGACTCTGGTCTTCTTTGGCGAGATAATGATTAGATCGACGGTAAACTTTTACAAGCGACGGAAAGACACCGGCAAATGGTGCGATTCCACGCTCTGCTGCAAACGGAAACGAAGAACGAAGGAATCCGTCACCCCGCAATTGGTGTTCACGAAGAATCCCCTGTTTAATAAGCAGACCAATTTACAGAAGACAAGCCCGCGCGCGTTGTATCAGAACATTCCGTATGGCTTCACTCAGGGGAAGAAACACTGTATTAACGGGCGCGATTATTACGTCGTGATGGATCGTTACGGCGATCCAAGATTGATACCCATTCGCACGCCATCCGCGTTTTTATTTCAATACACAGCATAGTTAAAAAAAGCTAACAATCACTGAATCACAGAAAATCAATCATGGAGCTTGTCAGAAATATTAATTATACACAAAGTATTATCGAAAATCGTACAGCCATTTATCAACCATTTCATCGGCGTGAGACATTTAATATCATTAAAAATAATGTTTCTAATTATTATATCAATATGAATTCAACATATATTTTACGTTAAGATTCTACTTCCTAATTCTTTTTTACGTGGAATATATACCTTATATCGAATAAATAATATCAATATTCAGATAGTTGTGATAGTAATTTTACTGGAGAAATAAACAAATTGAAAGAAATAGAAAATTTCTGTTTGTTAAAAAATTAATTCTGAGTCGTCCAAATTCATTTTCTTTTCTTTGTAAAATTTGTAATATTTTTCAACTTACCTCTATTCTTAGGTTATGTATCGTTCGTAGCTCCGGTCTCCGGTTCTCCTCTCACGCTGCTCTCCTGTTGCTTCCAATTGCCAATGTCTATAAAGAGAAAAAGATATCATTGTATGTGTGATAAAAGCAATTTTCTCATGTCAATATTAGAATAAAAATAAAGTAGAAAGAAATATAAAAATGAAATTGGACATTGTTTAAGAATTGAAGATAGAAATAGTTTGACTATGTCCTTTGGCATCCATTGGCAAGTTTTTCAAAAAGGGGGATGAAAAAAATAAAAAGAAAGAGGTAAGGGAAAGTATGCCTGATTAACGTCATTCGGTTACTTCATTTCGATGTATGACTCGCGATGCAACAAGGCGCGATTAATCATTGTGTATTTCGTCGGATGATACGCGCGTTTGATATTTTTCTTGACTGATATTAGCTCTTTCTGTTTATTACTTTACTCCGCATGGGTGCCACCTTTGTATCATATATACTGAAAAAAACACGGTCAATCTGAGAAAAGTTATAGAGATTGCATATCTCTATACGATGTCATCGAAGCTTTAAATTTTCGTTTTCAAACTTTAAATTCAACTTTGAATTTTTTAATCAATTTTTGAACAACCTACGAGAATAGTTCTGTTTGAATAGCTCTGTAGCTTTTAATTAACAATCAGAATATGCGAGAATCTACATGTTATGTATTTGATCGAAAAATTTTGAAGGAACCGAAATTTTGAGGTTTGTAATGCCGTGCGTAACTCAGATCTAAATGCCTTTAGATATCTATAGATTTTCGTGTGCTCTTGTCATAAACCAGTTATCTGTACGCTTACAGGTCAGCATAGCAGGGAACAAGATGCTAGAAATATGAAATACCTTTTGTCTTACCATGTTTCTTCCAGGATGTCGCATTCCGACATTCGCTTAGTGCCAAGACCAACGTAAATGTGTAAAATAGAAGAGATTCTTTTTACCTACACTTTTCACTCTCGTTTTAATTATTAAATCTGTCAAAAGATGGCACTACTATCGTGTTTGTTATCTTGTCTTTATCTCGTTTCTTTTATCAAAATACCTTCGAACACACTAAAGTATTCTGTGATATTCATTGGGAACTGAATATCATTGTTACGTAGAAAAATAATTATTCAATTTTATCATGAGCACCTTTCGGCTAGAACCTTGCATCCAGCTTCCCTTGTCACAGGAGGAATTGAAAGAAAGCGTGGATAAAGCAAAAGATTGGGCACTTATGCATGGTAAATAATATTCTTATAATCAGTAATCATGCGACATGCAACAAGTGCTTTCATTGTTTTTACATACATTAAATATAAAAATTTGAAGGAATTATAAAATTACTGTAATAATTGATTTGTATTACACTGTTATTTAGGAATATCTATGCGGTCTAAGAAGAACTTTAATAAGGATCAAGTACAAATACTACCTTTTACACTAATACCATCGAGTTTTCCAAAGAAACCCTTTTTACTTGTGAAAAATGTACAAATTTTATTGAATGAACTTATCCATAAGGTTGCTTATGATAAAGAATTTCTCACAAATAGTTTAAAAAGGTATTATTACTACATTAAAACTATAGCTATAACAAAATCTTTTTTAATATAACATTATATATATATTACTTAGTACAGTCCAAGCTGATCCATTTACAGCAAAGTTGTTCCACATATATGAGACAGTATATAAAGAAGGTTTCAGCCAGGTATGTCAAATAGTAAATAATATTTTATGATGTAGATATTAGCAAAGCATTATACAAGCTCACAAAATATCTTTGTATTTTCAGAATATAAGTCTTGGATTATTAAGATCAGATTATTTATTACACAATAATCATGAAATAAAGCAAGTTGAAATAAACACTGTTGCAACAAGCTTTGCTGCCTTAGCTACTGTTACAACACAATATCACAGGTAAGCATCTAATATAATTTATATTGTAGAAAAATTTTATTTCCCAAAAATCTATTATTTACGTAATTTATATATGTTAATGATAAATTTATTTCAGATATATATTAGAAGAATTGGGACACACTGAGACACGTGAGCGAGTGAGTTAATTATTTATTATAGCTATTTTCAAAGAATATAATTGCATTGTCCATTTTTATTGTACATGCTAAATTTATATTATTTCTGATATAGCAATATTTAAAATATATAATGTGTTATGATTGATCATCACTATTTATAAGATTCCAGAAAACAATGCTCTTGCTGGATTTATTACAGGATTAATACGTGCATGGGAATTATATGACAATAAAGAGTAAGTTTAATAATATAGCACATTTTGCACTTCCATTCTACATTTAAAACTAATAAACATAAATATTTTAGAGCTATTATATTATTTATTGTTGAAGATGTGACTTATAATATAAGCGACCAAAGGTTTCATGAATTTGAAATTTGCCAATTACGTCCTGAAATTAAAATTATTAGAAGAAGCTTGACAAGTTTAGTGTCAGAAGGAATAAAATTGGGACCAAATAAGGAATTAATTGTGTAAGTTATTGCAATTTTAATTACAATATACATTATAAATCGTATATTAGTTTTCAAAAGAAAGATTGGTTAATGTTTGAGAATTCAACAAGTAATATAGAAATAAATGTCACAAATAAGAAAAATGCAAATAAAAACACTATAAAATATTCAACTCATTTCAATCATTTTAGTGCAAATAAGGTAGTGGCTGTGGTTTATTATCGCTCTGGTTATGAACTTGAAGCTTATCCTACAGAAAAGGAATGGGACATTAGATTATTAATAGAGCGTTCTCGAGCAATAAAATGTCCATCAGTGCAGTATCATTTAGCAGGTACTAAAAAGGTACATCTTTCAATCTAATTTGTTATTTGTATAAATGACTTGTGTTGTTTATATAAAAGTTGCATAAAACATTAGAATATAATTAATGTAAAGCGAGAGTCTTAATTTTTTTTATATTTATTGTAGCCAGAATAAGATCTATAACATGTATTCATTGTCCAAACAAAATCTAGAAAATAATCAGATTTAAAAATTGTTTTTTTTTTAGGTACAGCAATCTTTAGCTCAATCAAGTGTATTAAAAATGTTTTTGGATGAAAAATCTGTTAATAAAGTGCAAGAAATATTTACTGGCCTTTACACGTTAGACTTCGTAAGTCTATTACTTAGTTGTAATACTTATTAATTATATGAATCGCTATTCTCAGGCTTTTGTAAATAATTTATTTCTTTTAACAATAGAATGATGATGGAGAAAAAGCAGTAAAAGTAGCTTTAAGTGAACCGAATAAATTTGTGCTCAAACCGCAAAGAGAAGGAGGTGGAAATAACATATATAATGAAAATATAAGAACGTGGTTAAATTCAAGGAAGAATTCGCAGGAGAGAACAGCATGGATCCTCATGGATCGCATTTATCCTCCATTACAGAAAAATTATTTGATACGTGCTATTGATGAACCGCACGCAGAAGATAATTTTGATCTATCGGATGTCATAACAGAACTTGGCATATATGGAGTAACTTTGGGGTAAGCTCAAGCAGAATGATTTGCATTTAGCAATCTTATCTTTACCATGAATGAAGAAACAACACTGATAAAATAACATTGATAAAAGATTGATATCATGTATTCTTCTTTCAGAGACAGCAACGAGATAATGCTAAATACACAAGTTGGACATATTTTAAGAACCAAATCATCGAGCGAAAATGAAGGTGGGATAGTGGCAGGTATTGGCGCTCTTGACAGTCCTTATTTAATTAGTTAGAAATAAAATTATCTCTATGAGAATAATTAAAATAGTATTAATCATAAACAAGATCTTTAAATATATATAATAATATAACAATTGTTAATTCTCGTTACAATTGTTTTCTTTATTGGTCATGTGACATTTGCTTTTGAAATAATTTCAAATGTTGGGTTTATTTACTTTTCTCTTTCCTGTATTATGGAATTAAATGAATTTAAGCAAATTGATCGCATTTTCCTGTTAAAAAAGTACAATAATATTGTAATATTGATATTAAAAAATTGTAATTTTTATTATATGATAATATTAACTGCAAAATTCAATTTTATAAAAATAAATTTCATATTATATATATAAAAATTGTAAAAAAAGTAAGAAGTTTTATAATCAATTACTTATTACCCAACTTTTTCATATACAAATTTTATTCCATTTTACGTATACAAAATTGTAAAAACATTTTTTATGTACTACTAATATAAAAAATATGTATGTAATATAAATGAATACAATTAATAATATATCAGTTATACACTATCAATTAATACTATTACCTACATTACCAATTAATACTATTCAAACATCAAGGCACTATGAGTAAACATGTATTTTAGTTTATATGTTCTTATTTAGCATTTGTGCGTGTGTGTGTGCGTGTGTGTGTGCGTGTGTGTGAGATCGTATATATTATACATCCAAAATAAAACGTATATCATACATATTCTTTAAGTACTTAATTTGAACTTAATGTTATATTAAATATTCTAATATATACGTCAGTAATATATGCGATGTCAAAAACGTTTCAAATACGATATTAAATGCTATAACAGAATATAATATACTAAGAAACATTTACTGCTAATATCTATTGAGAAATTTTTTAACGCGCGCACACTGCTTAAAAAGATTCTCTCATTCCTTAATACGTTGACTGCCAACAATGTTAAAACTTCTTTTTCATATTTTAGGCCACACGACATCTCGGTCATCATATTAGGTTTTTTTAATACCAGGCTATACGATCAAATCGTTTATATTGATATAAAATATATTGTAAATGTAATCCTGTTATTGGTACAAAATATATCGTGACCTATAAAAAACAATATCGATACGAGGGTGCCGTCAAGCGGCAGTCAACGTGTTAATCCTATTTTA